GCGAAATTATGTACACGGGGTCCCAGTTACATCCAACAATAAAATGTCTAAGAAAAACAGTAATAACATCTAAGATATGAACTAAGAAAAACATCAACTAAATATACACTAAGCACTCATAACATAAAACATTGAACATCAGCACAAACATGAACATGAGTCTGTGAGCAGATGTGCACGCATGAACACATCAACATTGAAACAGATCAGCAGCAACATGAAACAGATCAGCAGCAACATGATATGGTTTTTCACAGTGATTATTCTAGTTAGAGATTCATGAGTCTAACAGCTTCAGGGTAGAAGCTGTTCCTCAGTCTAGTGGTTCTACACTTAATGCTCCTTAACCTCCTTCCTGAGGGGAGTGGGGCAAAAAGTGTGTGTGCTGGGTGGGTGGGGTCCTTCATGATGCAGGTGGCCCTCTTCCTGCATCTGGAGGTGTAGATGTCTGTGATGGTGGGGAGGCTGATTCCAACAGATTTCTGTGCAGCCTTCACCACTCTCTGCAAAGCTTTTCTTTCTGCAGCTGTGCAGCCTCCATGCCACACATTGATGCTCGAGCACAGGATGCTCTCCACTGCACACCTGTAGAAGGAGGTGAGGACTGAGCTTCCCAGACCAGCTCGTCTCAGCCGTCTGAGGAAGTAGAGTCTCTGATGAGCTTTCTTGATCAGGCTGGTGGTGTTGTTGCTCCAGCTGATGTTGTCATTCATGTGTACACCCAAGTACTTGTAGCTGGAGACCACTTCCACCGCAGATCCTCTTATGTTCAGGGGGTGTAGGTGTTTTTGTTCCTTCTGACGTCCACAATCATCTCCTTTGTCTTCTTCACATTGATGTGAAGGTTATTCTCTCTGCACCAGCTCTCCAGGTGTTCCACCTCTTGCCTGTAGCTGGACTCATCATTGTTTGTGATGCATCCCACCACCGCTGTATCATCTGCAAACTTTACAATGTGATAGCCTGGATGGGTAGCTGCACAATCATATGTGAGCAGAGTAAACAGAAGGGGGCTCAACACACATCCCTGAGGAGAGCCAGTGCTGAGGGTTATGGTGGAGGAGGAGAGGTTGTGGATCCTCACTAACTGTGGTCTGTTTGTTAAAAAGTCTAGTACCCAGTTGCAGATGGAGGGGCTTAGTCCTAGTGTGGATAGTTTGTCCATCAGGGT